CAAGCTTATTTTTTCAGGTTAAGAAAAAGATTTAATTATTTTTATTGTCACATTCAATGTTCAAATTGGACTTTTCATATCTCAAGAGGCTACAGAGCATTTTCTAGATACAGAAAAAATAATTAAGTCTCTTTTGTTCTAAAATTAAGAGATTTGAAATACTCAGTCCTATTTTTAAGAAGTAACATGCTAAGTAGTGATGGTAGTAACATCCAGTGCTGTCATGTGTTGTAAGCATTTAAACATCTTCTTTTCAATTAGAGTGAAACACATCTCATGAAGTATACAGTTATATCTACTCTGAGCTGCCAAGAGTCTCTTTGGAGAATTCAAGTACTATTGAAACTGATTGTATGGTACATTTAAAATATGATTTCTAAAATACAAATCTACCAGGAGCTTTATAAAATATTGAATGTCACTGGAATTTGTTGAGGTTTTTATTTCTACATAGAGTGATATCAAATTGATTATGGTAATTTCTGAATGGTGCTTCAGATGATTAAATCTGGGAGTTATTTTCACTTGTTTCATATACTTACTATCTCCTTAACCATACCTATAAAACTGTCAGTATTGTTTAGGAGTTCTGTGTGAAGATTAGTAAACATAAACTTAAATGAAGGTAAGAAAAGTGAAGTGGAATATTAAAATGCAAAATATACATGAGTAAAATTATTTAACTTTTATATCTAAAATTTAAATAATATTCATTTAATTTTTAAGTATTCTTCAAGTATTGAAGAGTATAGATTTTACCAAAACACTGTTAAATGCACATATCAACATATATATATATATATATATAATATTTTAACTTGAGAAATACTGAATCAGACACTCAGAAAACAGAATAAAAATCACCTACACAATAACCACATACAAGATTTAAAAATTCAAACTGCTTTGTATAATTTTACATAATATAAAATCCATTCATTTCAAGTGTACAATTTCTATAGCATACAGTTTGTTCTTTGAAGGTATAGAATTCAGCGTTTCTTAGTAAATTTTTAGAATTGCACGACCATCATCATGGTCCAACTTTGGAACATTTCCTGCCACCCCAACGGGTTGCTCCTGTCTGTCGCACTTATTCCATCTTCCCTCTCCAGCCATAGGCGACTTCTCATCTCTTCGGTGTATTTTCAGATTTTCTTTCCCCAGACTTTTCTTGTAAGTGGAATTGTACAGTATGCAACTTGTGTGTGTGTGTCTGTGTCTGGCTTCTTTCTCCTAGCACAATGCTTTGAGATTCATTCATGTTGTAGCGGGTGCCAGTGCTTAGTAACTTTCTATTCCAGAATGGCATGTATTGTACAGATACACAATACCATTTTCATTTTTCCATTACAGTAACTAACTTTAAAAAATATATTGTAGAAACTGAGAAGAGAGCAAAGGCATAAGGATAGAAGAGTCATTATTTCCAATTTTATATGGTTTTAATTTTTAAATTTCAAAATAAATCTTATAAACAAAACAATGGATATAAAATAAGAGCAGAAAGCCCTCTACTGATCCAAATCCCATATTCTTTACATAATCACCATCAATTTATTTTTTGCATCTGTCTAGACTGTAATACGCACATGTGCATATAAATGTATACCTGTACACATACATATCCACCTAAGCCATCATATATTTTATGTTTTAACAAAAACGGAATCTCGGGGCTTAATATCTTAACGTGTACTTACCAACACTAAGAAAAACATTCTTACTGACCTTGTTGGGTTTTGTCATAGCTGAAGAGTATTGTAGATTAATTTATCTGTCTCTTTGCAGTGGAGAAAAGTTACGATCTGTGGACTACAGCTCTTATTAATTATTACAGCAAACATTTTAATTTTTTAAAGCCCCTCTACATTTTCTTGCAGGATACTTTGGGTCTGCTTGCGAGGAGAAGGCGGATCCCTGTGCCTCGTCACCATGCCAGAACAATGGCACCTGCTACGTGGACGGGGTGCGATTCACATGCAGCTGCAGCCCGGGCTTCACGGGGCCCACCTGTGCTGACCTCGTGGACTTCTGTGCTCTCAGCCCGTGTGCTCACGGTGCCTGCCGCAGCGTGGGCACCAGCTACAAATGCCTCTGTGACCCAGGTCGGTACTGCCTGGAGCCCGCATGATTCTCTTTCTCCAGTCTCAAACGACTGTTAGTTTTTCTTTGGCATCTTGGCAGATGTCAGTGCACAGGGTGTGGTACACTTGTCAGTAGAAGTGAATTCCACTCGTTTATAAGGCACTTTATCTTTGGAATTACTCTTGGAAGGGCTTAAAGACACCTTCTCCCTTTTACATGAGCAGTCCACATTCATGGTAGAAAAATTTGAAAATACAAAACAGCAAAATGGAGAGAATTACAACAGGCTCAGTCTTATAACAGGGCAATTATTTTTAGCAATTTGCTATAGGTCATTCTAGGGTGCTTGCTGCGTGGAATCTCTTTCACTATTGTGTGCTTAAGTTAATGGACTAGGTTTTTCCATTTTAATGTACATGAAAAGCACAATGCAATTCATTTATAATTGTGTCATCCATTAAAATCCGTACTCTGGCCACAATATGTTGCACTCTGACTTCCTGTGTAAACATTCAGCAGCTCCAACATTTATTTGCCAAATGTCTGCCGCATTGATAATACCGATTTTTAATCATGGAACTTTTGATCCCCAGAAGTCAGTGTGATTACTGGTAGCAGCTTGTGTCTTCCTAGCGTATTGATGCTGCCTGAAAAGGATGCACAGACAAACCTGTTTTTCCTCTCATTTCTGTTCTGTCCATGTCTCCATCCTGGCACGAGCTGGCTGTTTACGATGCTTCCCAGCACAATTTCCCACACATGGCCACAAGTAGGTGGCAGGGCCAGCCAGCACCTAGTTTTGCTTGAGCCCTGGCTCTCCATCACTCCATCTTACCTAGCACACTTTTGAGTCTCAGCTTCCTTCCCAGAGTTCCCACAATGACCCACAATATTACTTTCATAATCTTTACTATATATATATATATATTTTTGGGGGGGGTACCAGGGATTGAACACGGGACCTTGTGCTTGTGAGGCAGGCACCACTGAGCTAAATCCCTGGCCCAAGAACATGCTATGATATTTTTACAACCACAGAATCTCCCAACAGTGCACAGGTCGTATCCTCATCCTTAAGAGACACGTGACTGTATTAATTTTTCTTGTGTCTCTCTCCTTCTCAAAGGTGAGAGGGAGTGTGCTATTAAAATAGCTTTGTATTGACAAATAATCCCAAGCCACCACCGAGTGAGCAATCATCTTTCTAGGCCCTGGGCTGGAAGCATCACAGCTCTGCTTCTTTCAGGACCAAATTTATGCTGAAGCTTAAAATGCTTCTGGGGTTTCACCCCCAAACCTGTCACCCCAGCTCCAGTTGTGGGCTGAGCTTAGATTCCAGCCCAGGTGCTCCTGGCGGCCTTGCCTCAGTGCCTGGCTCAGAATGTCCCATGAGCACATCTCGTACTCACAAGCGATTAAAGGAGTTAGCGGGAAATGCAAATAAGCATTTGAAGCGTGTTGAAAAGCCTTTTTCACACAGACTCTTAGTTCTCTGATTTTCTAAGCAATTGATACTTTGCCAAGTTCCTCTTTCCTTTCTTCTGTAAATACAGAGGAGGGGCTGTTTAAGCTGCCTGGTAACAGTGTTAGAATTCTGTAGAGAAACAGAAGAGAGAGAGAGAGAGAGAGAGAGAGAGAGAGAGAGAGAGAGAGAGAGAGAGAGAGAGAGAGAGAGAGAGAGAGAGAGAGAGAGAGAGAGAGAGAGAGAGAGAGATTGAGAGAGATTGAGAGATTTATTTTAAGTAACTGGCTCATGCAATTGTGAGGACTGGCAAGTCCACACTCTGTAGGGGAAGCTGGCAGGCTGGAAACACAGGCAAGGTTTCTATGCTGCATATTGAAGCTGAATTCCTTCTTCATTCCAAAACCTCAGCCTTTTCTCTGATGGTCTTCAAGGGACTGGACGAAGCCCATTCACATTATCAAGGGCCATGTGCTCCAGTGAAAGTCTGCAGGTTTGGATGTTAATCTCGTCTGAAAAATACCATCATGGCAGCATTCACTCTAGTATGTGAGCACGTATCTGGGACCCACGGCCTGGCCAAGTTGACACGTGCAAGCAGCTTCCAGTCACACTTCTGGGTTCCTCACTGTGCTTAGAGTGAAGCTATTTCTTCAAGTCTATGATTGTCATGAGGGTACTTTTCTGGGTTTGCACCCCCTTCTTCTGCCTCGTGGGGGTGGGAATAGCTGCCTGCCTGGATGTTGGTGAATGCGCCCTGGATCTGCATGCTGAGGAAGGAGGCAGCGCAGGGCCGTGGCCTTCCCGGCTGGGAACACAGATAGCCAGGACAATTTTGTGTTTGCTAACTAAGCAAGCCCCGATTGAGCTGAGGAGAACAAAGTCTCACTTGTGCTGTGACTCCCGGACTTGGCGTTCCGGCACTCTCTTCAAGATGTCACAACACGTGGAGTCATTGCCTTCAGCGGGAACTGGAAGCGAGATCTTCCTGTCAGATACCATACCCTCCACGCTCTGTGACCTGACTCCCAGGAGTTCTTTTCCTCCCTGAAGCCCCAACAAGAACAATCGAATAGCACAAGCTGAGAAAACAACTTATTTTTTCCACCCCTTCTCCTCCAATTGCTTTTCTTAACTGTGTCAAAATTCCCCTTCTGCTTAATTGGTTTATTTTTAAAGCTTTCTAAGTTGAGTGAAATTATTTAAAGATAAATGTTGCTTCTTAACAATACCAAGTAGGGTTTCTCAACATGTGTGAGGGAGCTTACATGATCCTAAGTACAAAAATATATTTCTCAGTATTTCTCTTGCTGCTCCTGGAGAGGTAGCTGATGGTGGTAGAAGGGACATATATGTGTCCATGAGATCCTTGCTTACTGACTGTGACCATAGGAGATTTACAGGGCTCCCGGGGCCTTAGCTTCTTCCTCTGTGTCTTGAGGGCATTAAATGAGAGGCATTAGCCCCTTTCCTGGCATGGAGTAGTAAAAGCTATTCATTCTCCTTTCTTTCCATCCACAGAGATTCCAACCGCATCCATCCAGCCACCGAGTGGTGAAATACCCTTTCTTCAGTTCCGCCTTTCCCTCCCTCTGTGCTCGGTTAAAACTTCTCCCATGCCGCCTTGGAGCATTTTCCTTGGTGATCACCCGTGGTCCCCAGGTAGCCATGACAAAACTGAAGAAACCCACATGCAGCCCTCCATCCAGTCCTTCACCTGCTAGGCAGTCTCCGGGGTAGCCTGAGGGCCCTGCCAGGGCTGGATCTTCTGATTTGGAAGATGGTAGCATCGCTTTCAGAGAGGATGCTTCCTCAGAGAATTAGGTGACATTGTATGAAATAAAAAAGGCATTTTAACATCTGGCAAGGATTTACATTTTAAGAGGTGAACACGACAAGTCAGTGAATGTGAAATTTCTTGTCTTAATCTTTTGGAGCATGTAATTGCTTTACCGCTAGTTTTGCATAATAGAAGAATCTGTGAGAGTGGGCAAAATTGGGTGTCTAGCAGCAAAGCAGTGAGCCTGATTGTCCTTATAGACAGCAAATGGGTCACATTTTATACACTGACAGCAGACTGGAATCATGTCAGGTTGATAATTAGTTCCCATCTGAAGAAATGCCATTTTGATTACTGCAAATCAGATTTGTCAGGTGCTTTATTTTCAAGCTTCATTTTTTAGTTTATCCAACCAAGGATTTCTGATGGGGTTTTACTATCAAGTAATAAAATGTCAGCACTGAGTGATCGCTGAAACGTTACCTCCCAGTGACAGTGTTAAGTGATAGCCTTCTAGTTAAAAAAAATTGGAAATTGAAATGCCCTGAAGACCAGAAGAGTGAGAATGTGGAGCTGCTGCAGCCATGAGGAGGTGGCACATTGCCAGGGGTTGCGGCACTGCCCTTGCAGGTGGCCCTGGTAGTTATGTGTTTTCGCACAGGGCTGGGGTCTGGAGATGGCTGTTTGGAGAATAAGTGCTGTCGATGACCAGTGAGCAACTTCTGGGAGGAAGGTACGTGGTTCACCTGAGCTCATGGATCTTGGCCCTGACTCGTGCACTTGAGTTATTTCTCTAAGTTTATTTGTTAATTAAACCAGCCCAGCCATTAAGAATGTGCCTTAAATATTGCTGTTTAAGGTAGCTGTGGTATAAAGTGCTACAGTATTTTTACATGGAAATATATGTCAGTTTTTATTTTCTTGAAAAACTCTTTGGTGCCCGTCAGTTCAGCTGCATGTGGGCTCTGAGACGAGACCCGGAGCAGTCACTAACCACCTGGACATTTCTGCCAATTTTTCTCCACCAAAAGGCTGGTAATTAATGACCTCATCTGGATATACAAAACACTGCAAAATAAAAGAATTTTAGGGTTTGCTCAAATGAAATATTTTTGTTTCAGCTGGGGATTTAGCTCAGTGGTTTTGCTGCCTGCTCCGCAAGCGCAAGGACCCGAGTTTGAACCCCGGTACCAAAAAAAAGAAAAAAAGAAATATTTTTGTTTCTTTGCTAAATCCTTTTCCCCCTTTCCTGAAGGAAATTATATTTATAGGAATTTCAGATACTATTTTTTTCTATTTTCTACGTTTGTCTTACTTGTGGGCTGCATTTCTGGTCCGTGTGGTCCAAAAGACACTGTTGATATTGCCTCCTACTGCTGTATTCAGGCCTGGCAATGCTAGTACTCATGACAGTGTCTGCTGAAAACAGAATTAAAGATAAAACATTAATAGTATTTTAATAGCAGTTGAACAGAATAAAGAAATTACTACACCTAAAAAAATAGAAAGACATGCAGTCCTCTCTGATGAATGCCTAGATGTATTTAGATTCTTGGAAGAGTATGGTGGACAATTTACATCTTTTATTAACCAGACAATTTTATCTGGTTCACCAGGATGAAGACAGTTTTTGTGTTTGATGTGTCTAGGGGGTTCTTGATCTGCAAAACACTTTGTTCTTGAGAGCTGTAGACTATATAGATTATATTATCTACTTTCCCCAGATCTTAACTTTGTTGTTGTACTCTTTCTTTTTATACTCCAAAATATAACACCAGCCTCCTCTATCTGCATCGCAGAAGGAAATCCTGTATACCTAGCTGCAGCTGTATCGAAGAAGTTGGTTTTACTCACCATAATATGTACTGTGCCTAAGACAGTTTAAATCTCTATGTGGACATCATTATGACACTAAGAACTGAATGAGAACACAATAGCCACAGGCATCAGGAGCTTGTTGGACATTTACAAGTAGCCTTTGATGTTATTAGGGTCTGGTCTGATTCTCACAGGTGGGTCATGGTGCCTTCTGTTGGACAAAAGGACTCATCAAGGTCTCATATCAAGCTCTCATTATAAGCACCCGGAGACCATGATGAAGTGAAATAAAACAAGATCACTTAATATTTCTGTCTAAGAAGACCACCATGCACCATATAAAATGTTAAACATTCCTTTCTCTCTTAGTTTTTGTGTCCAGTGAATTGACAATTATAGCTTTAGCCTTGCTCTACCCTGCCCTGTCTGTAGATAAGAGGTATTGAAATACTCAGGCATATAATTCACTCTGGCATGAATGCCCCTATCCCAAATCACCCAACCAGAGTTCCAATCCTGTAATAAATTTTGGTTTCTTATGGATTCATTCCATTGTTCTCATGGTGTGTACTCTCCTTTTCTGCAATGATTAAAAAAAACCCAACATAATCAACTCCAGCTATGTCTCTAGTGACCTTCAGATAAAACTTAACCAATAAAACTGTTCAAAATATGAGGTTGGCACTTGATTGAATTAAATATGAATTTTCATATTAATGGTTCAATGTGAATTTTGAATGCATGGTTCATTGATACTCACTTGGCTACAGGATAAGATGCATCAGATTCAGTAATAAGTAGTAAAGATGAAAAGACTGAGGATGAGATAGAGCAAGGATGAGATAAACTGAGGAAGAACATAGATGCAAAGGATTTGGATATTGAGGTCTTGGGGATATTTTGCATTAGAGGGTGGATGTGAAGTGGCAGGTTTTATGTCGATTCTCATAGCTTGTGTATCTTGTGCAGTCAAGAAGAGACTAGAAGACAGGAGATCCTCTGGGAGTGAACATTTATGTGAAAAGGGGAATCACAGGAGTTTAGTTGTCAATTGAATACAGGAAACAAAGGTGAAAATGGAGTCAAAGGACCTCTAAGGATTTTAATATGGGTAATTCTGAGAAAAGGGGAAATATGTAAAAGGAGCCTTTTTAGGCTGTTTGGTTGGCAGATGGAGGTGGTTGTTCCATCACATAGTATTTTTCGAGGCTGGAGCTTAGGATGGAGCCTGAAACCGGAAGTGTGGAGTTTCCATTGTATGGACATTAGAGAAAATCATGAAAATTGTTAAGATAGCTGAGGGTGAGAATATAAAAGAGAAATGCAAACAATTGAGGAGAGTGTTGGAGAGTTCTTACATTGAATTGGGAGGTAGAAGCAGCTTCTACCAGGCTGCTTTTTGACCCCACTTTAAATACTAATCTGTATGCATGAAAGTGTTAATAAAATGACCTTTATTTATAAGGGACCTCCCTCTCCAGCACTCCTCGGCTTCCCCCCAAATTCAAATCCTGCAGAACTCATTCGTGGCTTAACTAACACTGAAAAGTTATGCGATTTGCCCACTAAAATAGGAGCTAGTATAATCTGTGGGCACAACAGCAGTCACTTTACACCTTCCTACCTGGAAGACAGTTGGGAGTGACTCAGGCCTGTTGGAAAGTGTCCGTGCCACAGATGCCACCAACACACTCCAGAACCTTGTCATCAAGCCTGTGGCCCTGGAGGCCAGGTAGGACTTACTTAAAACTACCAGGTGTGATTGAAAATGTAGTGAATGTTTACATTTTAAAAATCTTATCATAGTGAAAGACATATTTCCATTATTCCCCCTCAGAATACACCCCACTTCTAACCCTACCATTCTTCCCACTCTGTGAAGGACTTCTGGAAACCCTCCTTCCTGTCTTTATTTTCACCGTTATGGCTGCTTTCTTGTCCAGAATCAATTAAAATTGTTTACCTTTGATGGTCCTTTGGCTTTGGGTAAGAGCTAGAAGTTGCATGGTGACAGGTCCCGTGAATAAGGTGGATAAAGACACACTGTATGTTTGTCCAAGCCTGCCTTTCCATTGGATGGCACGTGCAGTTTACTGTATTTTTGATAACACCTCATAAAGACAATCATGAAAGAGGACTTCTAGAACTGCCTCAGAAAGTGCCAAGAATAATGGGATAGGTGTATTCAAATTGAGGGGGATTAATGTCACTGTCTTTTACTGTAATATTTGTATTTGAACATTTACGGTATATTTTATCACACCTTGTATTTTGTGACTAAGGCATTAACTTTTTTAAATTTATTTTTTACTAGTACATGTTTGCAGTATAGAATGATCACATGTATTGTGGAGATTTGGTACATGGACTTAACTCGTCTTAATTCTTTTTTTTTTTTTTTTTTTGGTACCAGGGATCGAACTCGGGTCCTTGTGCTTGCACAGCAGGTGGCGAAACCCCTGAGCTAAATCCCAGCCCCGCATCTTAATTCTTTCGTTGTCTCTTACCTTTCCCATCCCTCCCTGTTCCTTCCAACTGTTGGTTCCCTTCCCATTTGAAAAAGATCTCCCTACTTCCTGTTATCTGTCTTAATTTGCTCTTTATTTACGTTTTGCATTTCTCATATTAGGGAAACCATGCAATATTTAAGCTCATGTGTCTGATTTAATTCACTTAATATTATGATCTCAAGGTGGATCCATTTGCCTACAAATGCCTCAGGTTTATCATTACTCTTATTTTTTTCTGTGGTTGGAAGTTTTTTTTATGATCAAGTCATTAATGTGTTTTGGCTGTTGAGCATGTCTGAGGATTTAGAGTTAGAACTGAGATCCTCCTTTCTTTGAGTCTGTTGCTCAGTGTGATGAGTGGGACCTGGGCTTGCCATCTTGAAGACCCATACTGAAGATCCCGTTCCACCTCCAAACAATTGTGCAGTTGGATTCTGCTACCATTGGTTTGCTCTTCTGGAAAGGGGAATAAAAACAATTGGATTATGAAGCTCAAATGAAATGACACATATGAGGATCCACTCTGAAATTCACACAGTGAGGGAGCAGGAGTCCAAATGTCAGACATTTTTCTTCCTAGAAAAGACTATTATGGAAGTTATTAAATCAGTGCTCTGATTTTCTTCATATGAGGTGCAAGGTTGTAGTTTTATTACACATGGGATCAATTTTCATTACTCTTGAATAATGGTTACACATGATTGTTGGCTGCCTTGATCATGGCTCTTTGTGGCTATAGTGATAACTTATTAAGCACCAGGGGCCAAGGAAAACTCTAACTGCAAAGGTTGTTTGACTCACCATGGTCTTTAGATATGTATGTATGTGTGTATTTACTTGCACTGTACTGAGGATTGAATTCAGGGCCTCACACATGCTAGGCAAGCACTCTACCACTGAGCTACATCTCCAGCTCTTACCATGGTCCTTTCAATGTAGGACCCATGGTTGTGACCATTCCTATACCTGTGAGGAATGAGAGTTAGTTAATGATGAAGTCAGGATTTGAACCCAGGCAATGGAGATTCAGAACCTCTGTTGCCTCAGAATAGGTAGGAAATGGCATCAATCTGTGACCTTGATGTACTAAGTATAGTAACTGACTGAAAAATGAAGGTTTTTAACTAGATTTTCTAAGTGGTAGTTTTCTTAATGGTTACCTGAAATTAGCACATTAAATTGAGATTTGTCGGTCACACTGATTCAGGTATGTTGATAAGCTTGTTTTGGCTGACTTTTATTTGAGTAGTTTCCATCTCTGAGAATGTACTACATCTAGACTGTGTCAAACACCTGACACATAATTTCTTTTACTTCAAGGTTACAGTATTCCTATGCTTTTATTTATAGACAAGGAAAGTGAGGCATTGAGAGTTAAATCAAAGTGGAGGTGACTGTATTAGTCACTTTCCTATTGACGGGACAGAGAACCCAACACCTACAATGTAAAAGAAGAGGGGTTTATTTTGGCTCATGGTTTCAGAGGATTTAGTCCATGGTTGACTAGTCCAAGGTAGAAACAGCCTGGCAGAAGGGCATGGTAGGGAAGAAAAGCTCAACCTATAAACTCGTGGACAAATGAATCCATTGATGAGTACTGCACCCTTGTGATCCAATCAGCCTCCCAAAACATGAGACTTTTGGCAGATATTTTAGTCGTTAACCATTAACAGTGACAAATTCCCCCATTTTTAACCCAGATTTGTCTAACACGAAGCACCTGCTCTTCATCAGTAGGCTAGCTCTCTTAGAAGCCTGGTTGTGACTCCCCAAGTTAGAGGGTGTCTCACTTAGGTTAAACCAGTCACAAAACAGACTTCCAGACTCCCTTCTTGGCATTGTTCCTGCACTTGTGAATACCAGGTTTGAAAGGTGACCTTGACTGGAATTCAATGAGCGACTCCACCAACAGACAGAAACTTCACACTTCCCAGCCCAGAGGAGTACAACTCTAAAGCGAAGGGAAATGAACTGCTTGTGAGTAGAGAGACCTCTTTTCCTGTTTTCTTGCTTCACTCTGAAGATCTATCAATCTGCTGCTTTGAAATTGACGCCGAGGGCCTCCTGTGATGGGAGCTTGTGCTTTCATTTGACCAGGTGTCTGCTGAATCCACCTAATTAAAGAAGCTGCTCTTCCTGTGACTCAGAGGAGAAATGCAGACATAGCCACATGACAGACACACTGCCTTTCGACTTAGTAGCTTCTCTTGCTGTGCCTCTCACTTCTGGGGTCTATAATGCCTACTAGCAATTTGTTTCTTAGCCTCTGAATCCCCGAAAGCCTTGTGCACTGATTATTGTATACCATGGACTCCTTTGATGTTGGTGCTTTTCACCTGGCTTTGGAAATGTCATAGTCCCTGAAATGTTCTTCTGTCTTTATATTCGACTTTTGTTATTTTTAGTTCTGTGCCTTGAGATCACTTTGATGTTTTGTACTTTCAGTAGTGCTCTTTCCCAGAAGGCTGGATCAGTAGCAATGATTCCCATCAGTGTCACTACCCAAAGGTCTGCTGGGCCTCAGAACCTCGGGACTGGAAACTTTAGAACAATGTCCATTGTTGGTGATATCAGAGGTACATTGTGGTTGATGGAAGCTTGCATCCTGAATTCCAGTTAGATAACCAATAGGGAGGTTTGTCTGCATGTCTTATTTTTTTCCTAGCTTTCTAACCTTCATGTGCTTTTTAGATATGCTCAGGCATATTCAGGGTATTATGAATGTAGACCAGTATGCTTTTTAAATTCTTCAGTGATTTGGATTTGTATAAAAACCTGGGGACAATGCCCTGCATTTCTTCCATTGCTTTTTTTAAAATCATGCCCATTAATGTCAGTTTGAAAATACTCTGTGAAAGTTGCTGCGTTCATTGAGTGCTTTTATAAAATTGCTTCAGTTTTTTTTTTTTGATACTGGGGATCGAACTCAGGTCTTTGCACTTGCGAGGCAGGCAGAGGATTGCTTCAATTTTAATGAAGATTCAGAGCTCTTAGGTTTGCCTGAAGCAGATTGATATACAACCTCTTTAAATCCCAG